GGGGGGGGGAGGAGCCGCGCGCGCGCCTCCCATTGGCGGAGAGACCCGGAGGAGGCGTGGCCGTGCCGCAAACTAGGCGGGGCAAGTGGATTAGTCAAACGGATAATGGGCGTGGTCTCGAAGGAGTGGGCGGAGCGAGGTCGCAGTCGGCGTGAGGGGGTGCGGTGCGGGACACGGGGCTGTGTGGGTGCAGGGACACGGGGGGACGGGGCTGTGTGGGACAGGGGGTGCAGGGACACGGGGACACGGGTCTGTGTGGGCACGGGGTGCAGGGACACGGGGGGACGGGGCTGTGTGGGACAGGGGGTGCAGGGACACGGGGACACGGGTCTGTGTGGGCACGGGGTGCAGGGACACGGGGGGACGGGGCTGTGTGGGACAGGGGGTGCAGGGACACGGGGACACGGGTCTGTGTGGGCACGGGGTGCAGGGACACGGGGGGACGGGGCTGTGTGGGACAGGGGGTGCAGGGACACGGGGACACGGGTCTGTGTGGGCACGGGGTGCAGGGACACGGGGACACGGGGCTGTGTGGGGCACGGGAGTGCGGCGGGATGGTAATGTCGGGGATGGGGGCGCAGGGCTGCAAGGACACAGAGGTGCCTGCGCTGCACTACAGGATCAAGGCTGTCCCCACCTCTGGGGTCCATGTACCCCGTGCCATCTTGCCCCAGTGCTCGGGGCCACCACTTAGGGCCAAGCTAGTCACAGGGGCTCTCGGGGGTGCACGGTACCTGGGCAGAGCCAGCGCAGCCCCACTGGGGCAGCAGGAGGGACGTGCCCAGGGCTCCTGAGGACACACCGCACCCCACGACTTGACCCAAGTGACCGCCACACTGCTTGGTCCTGGCACTGGAATATGCCCGCTTGCCCCAGGGACCCCCAGCTGCCCTAGGGTGATGGGGTGGGATGTACCCGGCGCCTGGCTGGGTGCAGCCCGTGCCTGCCGGCGCGGAGCAGCAGCCTCCTCTCACCACCAGCCCTCGATGGGCCCCCGGCCCCATCCCTGCAGAGGCCGAGGAGAAGAAGGGCTCTTTGATAGCAGGCGGCGGGCTCGAGAGCGAGGGCTGTTATTCCAGCACTTTGCGGTGTGCGCCGACGGGGCACCGTGCGCTCCACGCTGGGGCCTCTGTTTTTCCTGGCCGGGGATGTGCTCAGTCCTTCTGGCCTCGGCGGGCCGGGGGGGCCCCCACTGGGAACCGCTCCTCCCTGCGGACCCTCGGCCCAGTGCCAAGCAGGGGCTCCTCCAAGCCCATCTGCTGCACAGCTGTAAGGAGGAGGGAGAAATGGGAGACGTGTCCCAAGCTCATCTCATGGATTCCCCATGCTGGGGCCACATCAGCCCTGCTGCCCCTGGAGAGGGGTTGGTGCCAGGCTGCTCCCAGGGCTGGCAGCTCTCTGTGAGGCTTCTGGGTTGAATGCTGCTGGTCGTGCCTCCATGCTCAGCCATGGGCCCTGTGGTGGTCCCTGAGATGTACCCCTATGCCAGCTCATGCTGAAGGGGTGGCAGCTTGGGGATCCTGCCCCATCTTGCATCCCTTTATGGTCTTCCTAGGAGCATCCCCAGATTCCCCACCAAACACCCGTGGGCTTACTCGTGGCTAGGCAGCATGGTTGCTGAGGGATACTGAAGGGACACCAACAGCACCAAAGTACACTGTGGGACAGGGAGCCTGGCGATGCCACCCCGGGTGTGCGCACCCACTGTGGGGCAAACCACCCTGGGGTGGTCTATGGGGCATCATTGTGGGGCTGTGCTCTGGCAGCATCAGCTCGGGGCAGCAGCTCTGGAGCTGCTGGAGCACATCTGGCTGCCTCTCGCCGCCGGCTGACACATCCCTCGCAGCCCCCCCGCCCGGCTCTTTTGGGAACTTGCGTCATTTGTGATCCTCTCCGGCTGAGGAACCAAAACAGCCGTCGGCCCCCGCTCCCCACCCCCCCGCTCCCGCCTCGGCCCCATGGGGCTGTGCCCACTGTCCTGCCCTGCCGCTGCTCGGGGACTGACAAAATAAACCTGGCACAGGAAGAAACACCGTGGCAGGCGACTGGCCCTGAGCTCGCGTGCCAGCCCGTGCCCTGTGCCCAGTACAGCACTCCCTGTGGGACTGCTCTGGGCAAGCCCTGGGGGATGATGTCCTGGGGATCCCTGGCCCCTCTTTAGTGTCCCCACCTCGCCAGGGACACCCAGTCCTCTTTGGGGTACACATCCCCGAGGCAGGGCTGTCCTGAGTTCAACAGTGGCCCCAGCCCGCGCTGAGCCTCAGAGGCAGGAAGCAGCAGTATCAACAATTTTAAGGCTCATTTACACCCCGAAAACATTCCCCATACTATACTGGGTGTGTATGTGTGGGAAGTGACTGGGCTCCGCCACAGCCCCGACACAGCTCCCGGGGGCCCCCCGCCGCCAGCGCCACCGAGCCGGGCGATGAACAGAGCCGCCATTCTCCCCGGCGGGCTGCGGTCCGCTGCGCAGCGGCTGGCGGGGGCCCAGGCGGTCCCGACGGCGGTGCCAGGTGGGCCGTGCACCGCGCCAGCACCGGCCCCGGCCACTAAATATAGCCACGGCAGCCGGCCACGGAGCAGCGGGCGCGGGAGGCACGCGGCAGGGAGCGGGCGGCCGCATGCGCCCAGCCCCGCGTGTGCTCCCCTCACGGGGCCCGCGCACACGTGCAGGCACCAGAGCGCGGTCAAGGCCTGTAAACAGCGCCCGGCGCGCACGGAGCCGGCGGGCCCTTGTGTGCAGGGGGCTCTGGGTGTGCCATTTCCTCGGCGGCTCACGGTTGTGGGGCCTGTAGCGAAGGGTATGATGTGCTTTCCTCAGTGTGCGCTTGGGGGGGTCTGGGGTGAGCAATACAGTGAGTGTCCCTCGGAGGTGCGCAGCTGGGGGGTCTGGGCTGAGCAGTGCATTTGAGTTTTGCATGGCAGCGCACACACAAGCAGTACAGTGGCTGCAGTGTGGGGGAGTGCACGGGTATGTGTACATAGAGGGAGCAGCAGGTCCACCCACCACGCAGCCTGTCCTGCCCGGTATTCTGCTCAGGGTTATGATCCTCCTGGGAGCTCGCAGAGAGGCCCGTCTGGGGTGGACAAGAAGTACACATGCAATCAACAAGCCTGCTCTGAGCACATTTAGACCAATCTAGTGCAATTAACTGGTTTTGAAAAGCAGGGAAACATCAGTGTCCAGCGCAGGGCTCTGGTGGCAACACATGGGGGCTGTCAGGGGGGCAACCTGGGGCACAGCAGGGGCATTCAGGGATGCTGGGGCTGCTGGTGGCAGTGGGGCTGGGTGGGCAGCCCTGGATGTGGTGCACTACTGACACCCCATCTTGGGAACAACCTTGTGGCACCCAGCCTGCTCCTCCAGCCCAGTACCAAAATGAGCCTTTTGCCTGTGAGATGTGGGCAGCCCCATAAAACCCTTCTGCTTCATCTGTGGGGTTGGTATGTGGAGAGCCCAGATCCCCTGCAAAAAGCAGGGTACCAACTCTACTGCTGTGACAATGAAGGCCAGACCTGCCCTGCTCAGGCCAGCCACCCCAAAAAAAGCCACCCCAATGCAGAGCCATTGAAGTCACCACCAAGGAGATGCTTTATTGGAGAGCAAGTGGGTAGTGGGCATTAGCCAGGGGGCCAGCCCATCTGCCGCCCCCCCAGCACATGGAGGTGCAGGTGGTAGACAGACTGTGCGCCATGTTTCCCATCGTTGATTACTGTCAGGAGAGGTACAAGGATCAGGCCACCCCCTTTGTCCCCAACCCCCCAGGACCACCAATGAGGGTCCTGCCCCACAACCCGGTAGGGAATATCAACTCACCAAGGCGGTAGCCATCAGCCAGCCCCTCTGCCTGTGCTGTGCGTGCTGCCACCACCATCAAGTGCCCCAGCAGCTGAAGGAGAGGGGAGTGGCAGGGTCACCTCTGTATGACCCCCACCACCAATGTCCCAGGGACCTCTCCGGACTCACCTCAGTGTCCTGGGGACCCACGCGGCTGATACGGGGGATGGGGCGCTTGGGGATCACCAGGAAGTGCACAGGGGCTTGGGGGGCTACATCACGGAAGACGAGGCACTACCAGAGGGAGCAGGGTAAGCCCCAAGCCCAAGGGTCTGTCCCCCTGCCCCGCTGGGTACACAGATCCTGCTGTCCCAGATACCTTGTCATCCTCATAGAGAATGGTGGCAGGGATGGTGCGGTCGATGATCTTGCTGAAGATGGTGGGCTGCCCTCCTGCCTCCTCGCCAGCCGCTGCTGCCTGCTGCGCCTTGCCCACCTCCCCGTCCCGCCTGCCGGGCGCCGACGCACACCGCTGGGGCTGAGAGGCATACCCAGCTCACAGCCTGTGCCCACGGGGGCAAGGACAAGGACACTGCCGTGCGGGTGGGTAGCAGCATGTGGGGAAACAGTGCAAGGTGATGGAGGGGAGCACATGGGAGTAATGGTGGGATGCACGTGGGGCTGGCAAGGGACACGTGGGGAGATGCACATGGGGGTGACATGGAGTGCACCCTGGGATATGGGCGAGGGATGCATGTGGGGGTGATGCAGGGTACACGTGGGGGTGATCGGACTAATGCATGGGGTGATGGGGGATGTGATGGGGGATGCATGTAGAAAGTGGTGGGATTCATACAGGTGTCCTGGGGGTGCACACAGGGGTGATGGTGGGGTGCACATGGGAGTGATGCTTGGCTGTGACAGGAGGTACCACATGGGGCAACAGGGAGGCGCACACGGGGGTAACACAGGGGTAAGAGAGCTGTGCTCACTAGGCTAACGGGACTGTCCACGGGCCTGACAGAGATCTGTGCCGTGGGGGTGCGGCTGTGCCCACGGGGGCGCAGGCTGGGGTGGGGGGGATACCCACGGGTGCTCCGAGGCCCCGGGCCGTGGCCTAGGGGTGCGCGGGCCGGCGCTCATGCCCGCCGCGGACTTTGCCCGAAGGTGGAAGTAATGGAGAGCATGGTGCGGACCCGTTCCGGTGCCCCTGTTACCCCGCACACCCCGGGGCGTCCCCCTTTTCCCGGGATCCCCCCATCCCCGCGTACCCCCGCGCCCACCTGCCCCGGGCGCAGCGCGCTCCGCACCAGCCCCCGCGCCAGCAGCGCCGCCATGGCCGCCGCTCCCGCCCCGAAACACAGCCGGCCCCGCTCCACGCCCCCTTAAAGCGCCCGCCTGCCACCACGCCCGGCATGTGAGCGACCCTCGCGTCAGAGCATCCCGGCGGGGACTCTCCGACCGGGGAAGATGGTCACTCCCTCCCCGAGGGGAGTCCCAATCCCGGGCGTCCCGCCCGACCTCCCCTGCCCCTAAGGGTGGGTGCCTTAACCAAACAATTGAGGATGCTGGGAGGAAGGCTGTGCCAAGCAGGTTTATTTGTGCTCAGAAGCCCATTCGTGGGCGCTTGCGGCGGGGCTGCGAGGCAGAGGACAACTGGCTCTGCGAAGAAGGGATGCACAGCTGGCTGGCCTGGCTGCCAAGGGGCTCCGGGGGCTCCGGGGGCTCGGGGGGCCCCTCGGCCCACACGGACAAGTAGTCCCGCAGCGTTTTCCGCCGTTCCTTGGGGATGCCGCGGCAGCGCAGGCTCTGTGAAGACAGCAGGGCTTCGTCGGCCGCTGGTGAGGGCGGGGGACTGCGAACTGGAGGGCTGCCTGCTGGTGGTGAGCCCTCCTGGGAGAGAACGAGTGGGCGGCCGGGAGAGCGCAGCAAGGGGCCCACATCACTCAACTCGGACAGCTCAGACTGGTAGGTGACAGAGGAGGTGAAGCTGGCCGAAAGGCTGCGGCGGCCCTTGGCTCGTTTCTGCCGCCGCCGCCGCTCCCGCAGCGCCCGCTGTCTCTGTGCCACACTGAAGCTCGACCTGTCCTCCCACCACTGTTCCCAGTCCCCAGCCCAAGCTGCTGTCAGACGGGCACTTAGGGGGTCCGGACCCTCTGCCAGCTCCAGGGTCTGTGGCAGGGGAGGGGGCTGGACGGCCAAAGGCTCCCAGCGCTGGATGCGGCCCCCTTCCTGCATGGTTTGGCGCAGCCGCTGGCGCATCTCCCTCTGCAAGCCGCTGGGGCCTGCTGGCCCCTGCAGATCTCTGCGGGTGAAGAGGCGCCTCTGGCTGAGGCTGGGGGGCCAGGTGTGCCGGGGAGGCTCCCTCCGGGTCCTGAAAAGGGCCCTCAGCCAGCGGCGGTACCGCAGGGCTGCAGCTGGGCTGGGCACTGCTGGGGAGGGCTGAGGGCTGGCACAGGGCTCCTGCAGCAGTTCAGCTTCCTCCACTGGGGCTGGTGTTCCCATGTCCTCCTCCTCCTCTTCGTGGATAATGACCTCCAGGTTGGGCAAGTAGAATGTCTGCTCTTCCTCCTCTTCTCCCTCACTGCCCAAGCCATGTGGGCTGCTGGCTGGAGCCTCGAAGAGGGGGGAAGAGCCAGGTGCTGTTGTGGCCTCATCCCTTGATGGGGGTGCAGGGGGCTGTGCTGCCTTGTGGGTCAGCCTCTGGCAGAAGACATCCCCAGCCTCAGAGAGCTGGAAAATCAACATGGACTTGTGTGGTCCATCCTCCTGCAGCGTGGCAGCCAGCCCTGCAGGAACAGGAAAGGTATTGTCACCAGGGTTCCAATCCTAGGAATATTTCAGTGGCCTGGCCAGCAGTGGGGGCTGCCTCCACCCCTCAGTGGGCACCCTCACTGCTGGCTCCTGCCTGCCCTGTACATCTTTTTCTATGTCATTAATCTCTTCTGCAGCATTGTTCAGGGCTTTGCTTTTTCAGCCACCCTCCAGGCAGGCCATGACAAAGGTTACTTTCACTCCGTTCCACCTTCTCCCCCACTAGGACCTGCAGCCTGGGGCAGTGTGGGACACTCACCTGCTGCTGGGGCTGAGAGGCGCTGCTGGAGCAGGTGGTGGCGGTGTGGCAGCTGGGTGGGCAGGTGCTGCAGGCACCCCGCGATATCATGCAGCTTCTGTGGAGTCCCTGCCAGCTGACAGGCTGACTGGCTGCCCCCTGAGGAAACACCCCAAAAAATTCTGGTGAGCACAGATGCCAGAGCAGCAGCTGATACCAGCAGCAAAGAGGCTAGGACATGGGCACAGAGGAGCCCCAGCTCTGCAGCAGCCTGGAGCTTGATCTCTTACCCCGGTATTGCAAAAGCAACAGCTCCTGTGTGCGGGATGCACCAAGCAGCACCTTGTGGCTCCTCCCAGGATTCCCTGGCATCAGGTTTGCAAAGAGTGGAGGGGCCTTCATCATGTGTGCCCACTTCAGAACAGGCACCAGTGGCAAACGCTCGTCCAGCACATACACGGAGAACTAGGACAGAAGTCTTGGCTCAGACAGGGCACACTCCAACACACCATGGTAGCTCCCCTCAGCTGGAAGATCCTCATGCCCCATAGGCACTAGGAGACACAGCTGTGTGGCATGTCTTCCCCAGCTCCCAGCTGTGGGGGGACTCACCTGGGTGGTGACAAGGTACTGTGAGGGGTGAGCCCTGCCCAGGTACATGGGCAGCACCACACGCTCGCCCTGCTGGCAGCCAGCTTCCTCACCCACCTTGAACAAGTCAAAGTGGCATCTCTTGGGGGCCTGCACCAGTAGAACAGGGCACAGTCAGCACTTTGGGCTGTAGAACCCTCTTCCCTGCCTGGCCCAAGCCCCACGCCCACCCTCCCAAGCTCACCCGGGCATCCAAGCACTGCAGGCCCGTGCGGTCAGCACAGGTGAGTACTCGTGGGTGGGCAGTGAAGTCACTCCAGCGCCAGGGTGAATGGTCCCGAAAAAACATGGTCTGAGGGTCATGGCGCAGCTGCTGCAGC